GGTGACAGAGCAAGACTCTGTCTCCAGAAACAAAACAAAACAAAACAAAACAAAACAAAACAAAACAAAACGTTTCTTTTTATTGATATGTTTGACATACATCAAGAAATTTATTTATTCATTTTACATGTTATTCTCAGGTTGAATTTATACTTTTACAATCTTAAATACACATAAGCTTTTTGATTAGTAAATTCAGGTAGAAGAAGTTGTATGTCTTTATCAGCATTACATTTAATGTTGATAACTTTGAAGACATGCCTGTTTCAATTAAACCAACAACTTAAACTAGTTTTTTTTTTTTTTTTTTTTTTTTTTTTTTTTTTTTTTTTTATTACATTTAATGTTGATAACCGCTGAAGACACACAGCTGTTTCAATTAAACCAACAACAATTTAACTAACTGTTTGTCTTTTTTTTTTTTTTTTTTTTGATCTAAGTTTTTTTTATTTACCAAAGGTTATCCTAGATTATGGTGAACTTGAAAAACTTTTAGGTTAGTTCCTATTTTTCTGAAAAAAATGCTTAATTTCTATACATGCTTATTTTCTTCAGTCAAATCTTCCTATAGGTACCAATAGGATAGTTGTTTAGGATGAGAGTGCTCTAAAAAAACCACAAAACAAACAACAACAAAACTTTTAGATGCAAAAGTCCAAATCTCCAAAAGTATACCTACTTTGTGACTCAAATCCAATAAGCCATTTTTATGGCTGGAAACCAATAAGCCTTTTGTGGCTTAACCATGGATGCCAGAAGTGTGTCCCCAAGGGTGCAAAAGATTTTGTTCCCCTCAAGATTCAAAGGCTGTCTTAATGATCGCCTCAGAAACTGAGTACCTTCACTGTTAACAAGGCAATGGGGTTAAGACAATTAAGACAAACTCCAAGGATTGCTCGCATTGTCAGGCAAAAAGACATTGTGTTTTGGGCTCTAGTCTGCTGACAAGCCACCCAATGCAAGCCCGACAACTGTACCCCTCCAGGTGGTAGAAACCAGAGAGAATATTTTCACTGGTCACAAAGCCAAGCTCTCAAGATGAAAGGAGGATTTTATTATGTGTTTCCTCCTTGTAACAAATCACATAACAAGACAGCGACAAAAGAAAACAAGAACTATTCCTGGAAGACTGTAGGTGAATAATTTGTGAGTACCCAGAACCAAATTGAGCAGAGAGTCTACATTTCAAAGGATCAATTCTTATAAATGTTTTTCTCCTGCCAATCCAAATCTGGAAAAGAATGAACAAAGAAACATTTTATACTTTCCTCTCAACTGGCCACTATAGAAGAGATCCAGGAGAGCTGACGCTGGTAAGAATGCCTACCTTCTGCTGACTTTTGTCAGTCTTCTCAGGATCCCATCTGAAGGCTCCAAAGCACGGCAATATCCCAGCCTTTTAGAGTCCTATCTGGGTTGCCACAAAATGTGTGAGTGGAAAAGTTCCACCTTCATTCTCTTAGGGTCTCAGCTAAGTTTGGGAATTAAAACGTCATAACATAGATTAACAGGAGAAAAGCATAGTACAAGTTTTACATGACATGGGAGCCGTCATAAAAAAATGAAAACCCGAAAAAGAAGTTAGACTGAATTATTTACATACTGAATTGGACATGGAGTAGTAAGTTGTGAAAAAGCAACTAAATTGTGGAGATACTTGTAAGAGTTATTTTTCACAAAGTCTACTCAAAATTCTCTGTTTCAATTTATTGTCCTTGAGGACAAGTATGTTGCATCTTTCTGGTATAGAAGGACATCTTTCATATGGGAATTTCATCTTCTGCTTTTAAGAAACAGTGCAAAGGTCAGATTGATCCTTTTGCATTTGACTTTTTAAAGTGCCTTTAACCCAAATACTTAATATGTTAGAGTGATATATTTTAAACTCTTTCAATAGCAAACTTGTTAAATCACCTGCCGCAGCAATTGGCACATGTCAATTTCAACTAGATGGCAAACTTCTCGAAGTCTAGGACTCTGACATATAATGCTTTATATCCTATGCACCTATTACTGTTCCAATATATAGTAGCTCCTCAATAAGTATTTATAGAATGAATGAACATGTTAGGTGACAAAAATAAGATGGTAAGTGGCAAATCATGGTGTTTTCTTTTAAAAGATAACCTATCTGAGGATAGATACATATTTTAAGCATGATTACATTTAGTACAAAGGAGCTTCATGGGGGAAATTGCTAAATGTGCACCTATATATGTTCCCCCCCCTTTTTTTTTAAGAAATAAAGTTATAGTTAAGCATTTGTCCACCAGCTGGAGACTGTTTCCCAGCTCTCTCTTTCCTGCAATATGGTTACGTGACTAAGTTATTTTCAGTGGAAATGAAGCAGAAATAACTTATGTTACTTTTGGGTCTGTGTTTTAACGCACTGGAGGTATACAACCACACTTGCCTTCTTGTGAGCTGGACGTGGATCTACCTGAAGCCCAGCTTTGACAATGCAGATAAGAACCATAACCAGGGGATGGAAGAGAAACGTGATAAAAGTCACCTGGATGGTGAATGACTGCAGAGAATGCCAATCTTGGAATGGAATTTGAATGAAAAATAGGAAACTGCTTCTTCTTCTACTCAATTTTGGGTTTACTCCTTATAGCAACTTAACTTTTAAAATTGTAGTATAAGTAGGAAAAAGCAAACAAACAAATGAAAAGCTCCAAATTATGATGTTTTGGTTGATAAGGAGATCTGATTCATTTGCAAGTTTAAGAGTAACATTGGAGAAAAAGGCTTAAAAGGATGCATTTATGATTTTTTTAGTCTTCTTTTAAGTTATTTAAATATTTAAAGTACCATGTCTATTTTAGAAATTGTTTTACATTTAACTCTAATTAACAAAACCTCAAAGAGATACAAAGTTTTATTATCTGCTCATTACATTTAAGATACTTTCATCATCTTTAAAAATGATGTTATATTTACAGTAGTGAATTTATACCTGATACATTTTAAGTTCCCAAAAGAGTTTAAAGAGAGTAGTTTTCATTGTATAAGATTTTCCTTTACTTTGTCTACTCTTTAACATTTGAATAAGTCTTCTCTTTTAAATACGGATGCTCTTGAACTTATGATGAGGTTAAAGTGTCCTGATGAACCCATTGTAAGTTGAAAATATCGTAAGTCCAAAATGCATTTAATACACCTAGCCTACCAAACATCATAGCTTAGCCTAGCTTACCTTAAACGTGCTGAGGAGCACTTACATTAGCCTACACTTGGGCAAAATCATCTGGCAACACAGTCCACTATAGACTATCAGTTATTAACACTAGTGATTTTGTGGCTGACTGGGAGCTGTGGCTGGTTGCTGCTGTCCAGCATTGGGGTAGATTATCATACTGCCTATTGCTAGCCCCAGAAAAAAACCAAAATTCTAATTAGAAGCATGGTTTCCACTGAATGTGTTATTGCCTTTGCACCATTGTATAATCAAAAAATCCTGTCCGTCCATTATAAGTTGGGGATCATCTCTGTATGAATTCTATTGCTTTTGTGTTAGAAAATTCATTGCATGACCACCTCAATGAAAATTTTTCTCTTTTGGCTATGCTCAACTTGCATGTAAATATTTTTGGTCAGACTTTCAGGGGAGCATTTTGTTTTCTTTATCCAAATTCTTCTTTGTGCTACACTTGCACTTAGGTCAGATTTGAACTAAGAAGATTTTCTTTTTCCTTTTCTTTCTTTTTCTTTTTCTTTTCTTCACTCCATCACCCAGGTTGGAGTGCAACAGCATGATCATGGCTCACTACAGCCTCCACGTGCCTCACCTCCTCCCACCCCATAGGGCTCAAGAGATCCTCTCACCTCAGCCTCCAGGGTAGCTGGGACCATAGGCATGTGCCAGCATACCCAGCTATTTTATTTTATTTTTTGTATTTTTTGTGGAGGCGGGGTCTCACCATGTTGCCCAGGCTAGATATCTAAAATGTAAGAAACATGGACCACGTCATTTCATAGATGGTTGCTATGGGAGACAGACATTTGAGGTGTGGCTAGGTTTTAGTTTTAGGTAAAAAATAAATTATAGTAGTTTCTTATAAATAAAAAGGAAATAATTTCTAGGTTAAATACCCATTTTATAAATCTTCATAGAATTGTGTATAAACTTGTAGCATCTGTCAAAAATACCATTTTACCTTTCATTGGTCTAATTATTTGAGTAACGTCTTCCTTCGTCTTCCAACTTTGTTCAGGAAGACACTGTGCCTGTTTTTGGTGTTGCTCTAAATCCAGTTCCTAGCACAGTATCTGACTTTATAAGTGTGCAGTTTAAAATTTGAAAGTTAAAGAAGCACATGAAGTTGATTAAAGCTATATTATTGATGCATACCTGGTATAACAAATTGATGCTATACTTTTCTCATACCGGAAAACTTTTTTCCTTCCTTTTAATATAATTTGAAACATGTAAATTATAGACACAATAGAAGCACAATAAAACATTTACCTATACACATAAAAATAACTAATTATTTAGATACCAAGGTGTGTAATTTGATATAAAATATCACGATTAAAAATACAAAATTTGCACAGTAATTCTATATGGGAAAAAATAAAGAATACAGTGGCAAAAGCAAGATTTATGGTATATCAGAATGCTCAAGTCTTTACAAAAATATTGTTTTTATATTTTAAAAGTATTATTAAATATAATAAAATATTGAATATAGTATTAAAGATGAAGAATTATGTACTGTCCAATGTTATCTAGGATTCGAAGAAACCAGAGCTCTATATTATTTTTCTGAGTAATATATATGTCTTATATTTGGTTATATGTGAGTCTTAAAAATGTGCATATCATAATAATAAGCATTTTAAATCTCAGAAATTTATTTTAATAAAACAATCATTACTCAAAAAATGGAAACAATTTAAATGTTCAAGAATATAAATAATTAATTCTTTGATGAAAAATAGCTAACTCAAAGTACATTTGAAACTTTTTTATCCAAATAGGTAACAAGCAATATGAAATAATTAGATATGGCAATTTACAATTCCAATTTATTCAGGTTAATCACTATAATTGCTTGTGGATACTAACTGGTGGATTTCATTGGTGCTGTTTGTTGGTATACCATCCGGGTAGCTTTGAATTAGAATAGTATTGACTCACTTTAAAACAAGAAGAACAATAATGATTTACTCTTTCCATTTTATATGGCCCTTTCAGGAAGAACCAGTTCATAGGCTGAGAAACAAAAAAGAGAAGAAATGGTCCTATTTGAAAAGAGAGAAGGTAGAGACATATTTTGCTACATAATTAATTTTAAAAACAAGATGATTAAAAACTAAAGGAAATAATTATTAGATCATATTACAAAAAGTCTTTGTTTTCCACTGAAATAACTGAAATAAGTTTAGGTGGGTCTTGTAAAAAACAGTACCATGTGTTACTACAGATTTGGAAATGTGACTGGATTTAAAATCATGTTTGGAATAAGAAGACTGAAAACAGAAGAGGTCAAGTATTAACTAGATTTGCAAGGGTTCATGAAGACCTCAGATCTAGATGGGTGTCTGTATTAGTTCATTTTCACACTGTTGTAAAGATACTACACCTGAGACTGGGTAATTTATGAAGGAAAGAGGTTTGATTGACTCACAGTTCCACATGGCTGGGCCTCAGTAAACTTACAGTCATGGTGGAAGGGGAAGCAGGCACATCTTACATGGTAGCTGGCAAGAGGGAAGAGAAAGCTAAGAGAAAAGAGCCCCTTATGAAACCATCAGATCTCATGAGAACTCACTCACTATCATGAGAACAGCATGGTAGAAACCACCCGCATGATCCAACCATCTCCCTCCCTCAATGCCTGGGGATTACAGATCTCTCCCTTGACACATGGGGATTACAATTCAAGATGAGATTTGGGAGGGGACACAGAACCAAACCACATCAGTGTCATTCTTTGGAAAGATATTATTTTTTTAATTGAAGGTTACTCAATTTTCCAGGTAACTCATTTCAGGAACTTACCGTTATTTAATTATATTTACAAATAAAACAATTTAAATACAAATTTAACTCAACTCCACAAATAAACAGATCATTCAAAAGGAAGCCTTATCTTTATTTGGAGATGTGAAGAAATAATTGCTGTCCATAAAAAAGTGTTCTTTTTTTCCTCAAACTTGAAACTACTACAGTTTTTGTTTTGACGGGGTGTACATTATGAAGTTTTTTTTCTTTAGCGTAAACTAGTTTTCTTTCTTTTTTTTTTTTTTTACTTATGAAAGGGACCATTTCATTCTTTTAAGACAAATTTTATTTTTTAAACATTCAAATGCAAGATTTTATATTGCATTTATATATTGCTTTAGAAGTAGAAGGCCCCCACTGAGCTTTATAACCTTAGGTATACTAGAAAATTATGTACCCATCAGAGAAATACAATAGTGTCCTTAACAGAGCACTTTATAGTCATTGAGTCTGTATCATGCAGAATAATAATCATTTATATGATTTGTGAGAGAGCACAACCTTGAGTCTTTTAAAATCATTTCCTTTCTTTCTTCACCAACTTTTCTTCTAGAGTCAAATAGTACTTCTGCTTGACAGGGGATTAATGAGGGAAATTTTTTTCTAAGATGCTTCAGCTGGCTTGGCTGCTTACATGACATTCTGCCTTTTAAAATTAATTTATTATTATTTTTAAAATTAATAGTGTGTTTGCTGTGCAGTCAGATATAGGGTTTTTGTCTGCTAAGTAATACTGAACATGAAAGATTTTGTTAGAGCAAAGGTCAAAGTGGCTAGGCAAATGTTATCTTCAAGTTGCGTCTACAATTTTCTGTGTTTTAACTTTCATGTTTTTAGAATATGTTACTGTCTTTGTAAAACACACTACAAAGGCATTAAAATGCATTACAAAGAGTTCACACTTTACAGAAAAAAAATTTCTCGATCCAGAAATAACAATTGAGTTCACGGTAAGTAATTATAATTTCAGATTTCTTTTCATGCATTGTAACAAAAAATGCTGGATAGTAATAATAGTTTTACAAAAATGAGATTTTATTGTCAACCAAATACTGTTTAACAATAAAATGTGTTAATTTTAATTTTGCTTGAATTTAGCACAAGGAAAAGAAATATACAAACTAAAAGAGTAGCTGAGCTTGTTTTCTATTATATGGATTATTAGTTTCTAAAAGATCTATTTTTAAGTTAAGAAAAAAGATTATAAAAGACATTAAGATTGTATTACAGTCTTGTCAAATTTTATACCGTTGATATATTTTTGAAATGTAATTCTCTCATAGTTTTATATTTATGTATAGTCAGTGTTATTTTCTTGAACTCTTTAATGTCTGTGAATGTCTATGTTCTAGGGGGACGGTTTAGCTGGGTCTAAAATTCTTGGCTCATATTTTAATCACCACAGAAATTTGTGAACATTTTTGTTGTATTATTTTTTGGACTTTTACATTATTTGTAGTTTTCTGAGCCCAGCTTAATTTTTAACTCTTAAGTAACTATTTTCTTCCTACTTCAATGTCTCAGGAAATATTTCATGTTACAGAAATTCAGTATGACTGTAAAGATCTTTTAAAAATCCCTGCTGATTATTTTATATCAGTTTTTCCTTCCATATAGTGCCATATGCTTCTATTAGAAGATTTAAATTTTTATTTAAGGAAAAAATTTTAAAATTATGTATTTAAATGCTTTTTCTGCTCTGAGTTCAATATTGCAGGAAGGCTAAATATTTTTTATTGAATCATCATTGTCTCTGTCACTCAGTTGGTGATCATTTTTCTAGTTTTTTTGTCTCTGTCATTTTCCTCTTCATTTACTATGAACAGATAATTTCAATTTTATTGTATGCCATTTACTTAACTGACTTGTACTCAAACAGCGTACCAGATTGATAGTCTATATATACCCAGTTTGCTTCATAGTTGTTTTGAAATTTTTATTCATCATTCGATATTATCAATGATTAAAAAAGTGAAGAACTAATCTGTAGACTCATGCCAGAAAAAAAAATCTAAAACTGTACATTAACATATAGGCAAGTAAATGCACATTTGTATGTGTTAAAGTAAAAAAATTTAATATATGTTTATCATAAACTATCCCCACACTCCTGAAAAGCATCAAATTAAACTATATGTATCCTTAATGAATTTTCTTCTTTAGTTCAATATTATGTTTATGGGATTCCTTCATATTGATGAATGTAGGTAAAGTTTCCTTTCATTGTTTTATAGAGTTCCATCAAAACATAGTTTATCTATTAGCTTCTTGTTCCTTCAGCAAGCTTGTTTTATGTATTCTCTTTAGTTCTCCTGAGTCACAGTTTATTGGTGCTTATGTGATTTTTCTTCCCCATCTGTTTTTCTCCTTGCCTGGAGATACCAAAGTGAGGATCTCTAACTGTTTATCTTGCTCTACTAAGAACATGTGGTGATAGAGAGGAATTTGAATGTTTGATAGCTTTTCTTTGCTTTTCTGCAGAGTAGAAACCCATATTTAATTTATTTTTCTCCAATTAATGTAAGAAAGAGGTATGGGTATTTTATTAGTCAGGATTTGTAAAATTTTATTGATTTACTTTCTTTCCTTTAGTACCAATTTAGGGTTGGTAAGATGGGAACAGAGTTAGGCATAGACTTGTATATTCAGCCTGTGTCATAAAGTTTGCCCATTGTTTTTAACCACTGATACCTTATATTTGTTGTTTTGTCTTTGTAAAATGAACAATGAACTTCATCATGTTGTGAGAGGAGAGTCTCAATCCAGTTTTGTTTTGCCCCCTGTAGGAGGATATTTTCTCTTGAATATTTCTTGCTATGTGACAAATTCCTGATTACCTTTGTTACTACTTGTATTAGTCCATTTTGCATTGCTAAATACCCTGAGGCTAGGTAATTTATAAAGAAAAGTTTATTTGGCTTACAATTCTGTAGGCTGTACAAGAAGCATGACATCAGCATCTGCTTCTGGTGAGGCCTCAGGAAGTGTTTGCTCATGGAAGAACGCTAAGGGGAGCCAGTGGATCAGATGACAAGAGAGGGAGCAAGTGAGAGGAGAGGAGGTGCCAGGCTGTTTTTAACAATCCAATCTCATGGTATGTAACAGAGTGAAAACTCACTCAGCACCAGCAGATGACACTAAACCATTCATGAGGGATTTGCCCCCATGACCCAAACACCTCCCACTGGGCCCCACCTCCAGTGCTGGAGATCATATTGCAACATGAGATTTGGAGGGGACAAATATTCAAACGATATTACAACATATATTTGAATATTTTTGTTATTTATTTAATGATGATCTAAACATTAAATTGACTACCGGAGTGTTCCTGTGAAACTTCTGTTATTAGCCATAGCTGAAAAGAGCTATAATCATATAATCTTTTAGTTAAGAACATACCTTTAAAACTTCCAAATGACAGTTTTCACCATATCTATTAACCTTAATTTAAGATTCATGCTCTATCTAAATGTTTTGCAATAAGAACCCATAATAATAGTTATTCAGTGCTTGTTATGTATCTGGAAAGTTGTTTATTGTTTATGTGCCTCATTTTAATTAATTCTCATATACATTTTAAGAGATAACCCCTAATGTAAAGATTAGAAAACTGAAGTTTAGAGAAAGCAGGGAAGTGACTGTCATATGTGATTTGAAATCAAGTCTGGCTCCTTAGATTGAGCTCATGACTATGCTGGGTCATCTCTTTCAGATTCAACTTCAATGATTAGCCACTTAATAAGTGTGATTCTTATGCAAGTCAAGCAGTATGAAGTATTTTAGAGTGAAGAAATGTCATCATTACTTTGGATTTTCTTCCTGGGATGTTAAGTAGTAAATGACCCAGATCTTGCCTTCATTGATGCATTTACAATAGACATTTCCTATGATACTGAGTCACTTTCCTTGGTTGGGAAGCCCCACTCTGAATTTCATCCTGGCTTCCCACTGCCTCCCTGTCTAGTAGAGACTAAGAGTTTTTTGAATTTTTTTCTTCTGCTAAGTGTCCTCTTTATTCTCTGCTCCCATTACCTGGCCCTGCCAATCTCAATTTCAAGAAAGAAACTTTCTTTCTGTATTTCCTTTCTCTCTCTAATTCCAGAGGGGTGACCTTCAGACTGTCTCTCTCTTGTGCCATATTGATTTTACTGAAAACTCTAAGAAATAACAAATGAAACCTAGTGTTCTGTGTTTTTCCTACCGATTTCCCAGCTTTTATAGCCTCCACTATGATTGCTTGAACCTTATGTCTG